ACTATACAGGGGCTATATAGGGATAATGGAAAAGAAAATGGAAACTACTATTCAGGGTTCAGGGTTATATAGGGAGAATGGAACAGAAACTGGAAGCTACTATTCAGGGTTTAGTGTTTACGTTTAGGGCTTGGGGTTTATGTTGGGTACTGCCCGTACCCAGAAAGTCTGTAAAACGGCTAATCTCAAGAGCCCTGCACATTTATGTTGTAACTATTTTTTCCATCTGAGTGGGTGCAGCATCCCGGCATAGGCAGTCTTACCCCGTCTTTGCTTTTACTGGCCGACTTACGGCACCCTAAACCCTAAATAGTAGTTTCCATTTTCTTTTCCATTATCCCTATATAACCCCTATATAACCCTATAAAACCCTATATAACACCGATATACTCCCTTAGGTTAGTTGCAAAAAATAAAGTTCCCACTGCGATCCTGGAGCCCAGCGCGCACGCGACATGATTCCCGAACCTCTTCACCAAGCAGGGATACAAGGTCATCTGGTTCCTCGGATTCTTGAGGTGGCAGGGGTCTACCCAAGTCCTCCTATGTAGTTCCTTTTTGGGTCTGACATGGTTTTTTGGGAACGGATTATAATATACCACCCAAAAAGGAACTGCATTGGAGGGTCTGGGTAGGGTTTGGTGTTGAGTCGATGTTTTTTTGTTCGCGCTTGCGTTACGGAGAACAAGCGCATTCGTGAATGTCAGCTGGCTGCTTAAAGGCTTAAGCCCTAAACCATAAACCTGAGCCCTAAACCCATAACCCTTACAGGGTTCCCCGGTTCCCCAGTAACCACCTGATAATAAGTGTACCCCTTTTCCTTGTATTCAATTTTAATAAGGAGACCACCAAATAAAAAGGGAACCCTAAACCTTAACCCCCTAACCCTGGGCCCCGGAGGAGGCTGCCCTGGCACCCGTAACCCTGATATAGGACGTCATCGACACCCTTCCACTGTCATCCTACAGGCCAGGTGTCAAGAAGAGCATAAGTGCCGCAAAGGTCTGGATGTAAGCAAACCTGGGCTGGGTTTAGGTTCAGGGTACACCCTAAAAAGACCCTAAAGCCTAAGCCCTGAACCCTAAACTGGGGTTTGAGTTTAGGATTTACAGGGTTTGGGTGAGTGTTGACCAGTTGTGCACCCTTGTAAGGCTTTAACAAGCCTTATATGCAATGGCGAGGTATATATAGGTCCCTATAAGGCCCATGCAAGGCATGCATGGGCGACACTCCTGACAGTAGAAGGTTCTTGTGGTTGGCAGGGCCCAGCGTCACTTCAGGCTAAGGGCTTAAAGGTTCAGCTTCTTACGTTTTGAGGACTTTGGGTTCAGGATGTAAGGCTTTCAGGGTTGCTGGATTGTATATGGGTTTCGATTGTTCCCTGACTGTTCTCTGGCTTTTGGCCTACTGTCCCAAAACAACGTGGGGCCCCTGCAGACGTGACATGGGCAAGGGTAGGAATGGGTTGTGAGGCTTTCGCTCCGGGCCGTCTGCATAGGGCTTTAACAACCCTAACCCTACACCCCAAACAACCTCAAAACTTCGCTCCCCGATCAACCCTAAACCCTGTATACCGCTATATCATCCCCTGTCTGCCCCACGGCCCTTTAAAGGGGGCGCACCTGAAATTCACAATGCGAAGTCTTTGCAGTGCCGGGCATGGCAGCCACGCCATAAGGCAGTCCACGCTGGGATGGTCCCAAATGCGGGCTAGGGTGAGTTTAGGGTTTAGGGTAGTCTAGGGTTTAGAGTTTAGGGTTTAGGTTTAGAGCTTACGGTTTAGAGTTGAGGGTTTAGGGGCTGATGGGTTCTCATAAGCAAGTCATACTGCAAAAGGAGTATCTACAATCAGATGCCCAGGGTACCTAGAAGTTGCTTGGCCAATTGGTATCTTGCATTTCTGTCATAGAACATGTTGTCCCATTTTGCATAGTGAACTTTACAGGGCTAGGCTAAAACTCGGGAACAGCTGTAGAACATCTGAAATGATTAGGGGGTATCGACCAAGTACAACGGTGGACTTCCTGAAGGACCTGAACTTTGAGCAGGAAGCATCAGCACCTCGAGCCCAGTTCACCCTAGCTACAGTACTACAGTGACATGGACACCCATGCGTGTTCCTCTGCGCATGGCGGCAGTAATTAATCTTTGTACGGCCTTTCTTCGGGTTATCATTTTAGCTTTGGGGTAACTAGTAATTTCTGCATTAGAGGCCCTACACTCAACAAACCCATATCCTAGCTACCCTGCACCCGCAATACCCTAGATAAATGGCCTTAACTGCCTCAACCGTGAATCCCCATGAGTAGCGTTGTTATGGTGACTGAACCTAGGGAGATTATTCTCTTCTTGAAAAATCAAGGAGAGCATAACCTTCCTCTGCGTTGGAAACTATAGTATCCCCGAACCCTGCACCCTAAACTCTAAGCAGCCACCCCACAAGATCCAAAGCTAATCCGGTTTCAACGTATTTTTACAGGGTTTTATAAAATAGGAATCAACCACTCCGTGCCTCCACGCCAGATACGCTTGGATCCTTCTTGTGTACATGGAAAGGCCGCATGGACCTAGCCGACCCATCTTTGCTCATGCACATTGCTCTTGCGGTAGTTTAAAGCTGCTTTGCGAAGGCGTGTCACTGCAATGACACTCTCATCTGACTCATCCTATTGTGGGATTTCGCTCTTAAGACCCAGAGTGTCAGAAGCACGAATGACACCCATGTCTGCACTCAAGCGCTACTTCGAGGCTTCTTGGCAGGTGGCTCCTTAGGCAATGCGTTTCCATCGCCTCCTTCAGTGCTTTGCACAGGGAGACTCTGAGGCGGATATTTTGTTCTGATATCCTCCTTTTCTTCTTGTGACAAACTGTTCCAAAACTGGAAAGACCATGTGGTTGCAGCAGTGCATGCAGCTTGAAACGTCCTGGTAACACCCCTTGGCAGGGCTGCAGTGCCATCAGGGACAAAAGAGAAAGCTCGGCTACGCTTGTTTTGAAACTTCCTGTTAGGAAGAATTCGAACTTGCACAAACGGACTCTCTCCCTGAGGTCTACCTTTGTTCCAGGCGCCAGCTGATGCTGGGGGATCTCGAAGTTGTGGGGCTCAAGTCGCTGATAGCCCGAAGACGCGCCAGATCTCTCCTGCATGTTCATCTACTACAAAGTAACAATGAATTCCTAAAATAAATGATTTCTCACACATTAGGGCTTAGGGCAGGTTTAGGGACTTAGGTTTTCAGGTTCCTCACGGTGGGCAGGGACGCTGTGACCTGGTCCAGGGTCGCCACTACTCGAAGCAGCGTTGTTAGAAGCCATGCGAACATCAGCAACCTCACCTTCCTTAGCTGCCTCTGACTCTGGGCAAGGATTCTGCACATCGCCTTCCACATCCTCTTGGATGTTGTAATTCATGGATTCAAGGACAGCCTCCTCTTCAATCTCATTCTCGCTCATGCCCTCGTCTACTTTGTCGTCATTTTTGGAATCCTGCGTACTGGTTATGGACTGCGTTAGGTTAGAAAAGCATAAGGTATTCCTAGGGGAATTTGGCGTTAAGAAATATTCACTAAACACGGTCCTTTTTGCGGTATTCGCGGATGGGGATTGCCGTTAAAATGCTTTCCACTGCATCAGGATCATACCCATGGTACTCTAGGATCTTTTTGGCACAGTTGCGATGGTTCAACTTTGCAACTTGTAAGCCCAAGCTCATGCCGTACTGCAGGAGAACACCAGCTGTAACCTTTGTGATGCTGTGTTCGCACAGGAAGAGTCCAGGCTCCATCCACTTTTGCGCGCGGAAAAGCATGCCGTGATGCTCATCCACAAGGGGCTCCGCAATGGAGACCTTACCGCTGGACATGCAGAACTTCAAGGTCTCCGGAATTACCATGGCACTGTCGAAGCCAAAGATGCCATTTGCATGCATCTTCGTGTTCATGTAACGCACCGTTTGCGGTCCGCCACACAACACCAGCACTGTAGATGCCGTATTGCCTGCTTCGCGCATCCATAAGGAAGACGGCAGCAGGACGTTGGATGCCCAGCTTCTTTGCAGCAACTGCTCTGGCTTGAATTCTGCGCGATCTTCGAAGAAGTGTGACTTCAAAGACTGAAAGAACCGCAGACGCTGGCAGAAGATGTGAGGTTTGGTCAGCTGAGGACAGTTGCGGTCATGGATGAGCCCATACAAGCTGATGCCAATTTCCTTGTCTTTCTCACGGCTGGCTTGCAGCACGTTTGTTCGAAGGACGCGCAGCTCGCTGTCGCCCACCCAATCCTTGTTGTCCAAAACTACGGATTGCAGCGGAGACCTCGTCATGCCAGATCGGATGGCTACTGTTGCCATGTTCGCTGGCTTCGTTACCTCGGATTTCTTGTGGCGTCGTTGGCAGTCCCGTAGGTCATTGAATTGGAGTTCGTTTGCCAGGGAGCTGAGGATGCAGGACTGGTCATCAGTCCCCTTGTAGCTACCCGCGAGCGTACATGCTAGCTGCAGCACATCTTGGCTGCCAGCGTGGGCGGGGTCGAAGTTGATTGACCTCAGGCTTGGTGAGTCATGTGCCCCCTACGTGAACATGAACAGGAGAACAGTATATATAGCTTGGATGCTCTGCTTCAATCATCAATTCGCGATAGACCGGCAATCTCGTGAAAGAAATCATTTTGAACAATGCGGATTTCTCATCCGTAGTGTCCAGGTGTTTGACCATCTCCCACTCTTCTTTCATGTGCTGTAGCATTGCACCCCAGTCACCGGAACGCAGCGCCAACACACAGCGCCATGGATAGTTGACATGGTAATCTTGCAACTCAAAGATTCCAGACAGCCATCGCACAGTGGCTTCGAAGTGGAAACTCAGGATTTCTTTCGCTGTGGCATCCTGGTCCGCGTGTCTCGCATTCATGTAGACAAGGCTTCGAACACAACAAGAATCAGCCACAGTGCTCCTGAAACATGTCACTACTATTCGAGACAACGTGAGGAAAACGGTAAGAATATGGAGTCCTCACCAACGATGTCACGCGTTTCCCGCTGGCCAAAGCAGACGCTTCTTGAAGAGACCCGTTGGCATCTCGTTGAGTCTGCTTGTTCTTGGTGGCAAAACTAGAGACGGACTGTGAACA